GGAAGAGGAATCACCACTGGGGAGTAAGGCAGGATAAGCCTTAATTAATTAAATAAAAAGTGTGTTGGTTCCCAGTCAGAGAATGAAAGACACTGTAGCCTGGATTTCTAAGTGGATGGAGTGAAAAATGAAAAGAAGAGAAGTTATGAAAGAAGAGAGTCTGAAATACACTAAATAAGAGAATACCCAGTTTCATTTAATACTCTCACTCACTGACAGAGCACATTACATATAGAGGTACACAGGTTCTCTTCATCCACACAGTCATACATTAGAGCAATGGTCCCCAACCTTGGGCCTCCAGGTGTTCTTGGACTTCAACTCCCAGAAATCCTGGCCAGCAGAAGTGGTGGTGGAGGCTTCTGGTAGTTGTAGTCCAAGAACATCTGGAGGCCCACGGTTGGGGACCACTGCATTAGAGGACTTCCAATCACAAATCTGGGAAAACCCCTTGACTGTGACCTCAAAAAGCAGCTGCTGGTCCAAGGAAATAATATGCAACTACATGGACCTACATGCAACTACATCTGAATTTGTACAAGGCAGTTGAATTTATCTAGAAATCTTTGGTTCTCTTAGATGGAAAAGTCTTAGAAATCAGCTAGGAGAATAAGGGTAACCTTAGTCAAAGCACCTAACTGCAACTGTGTGTTTGGTTAGCAACAGAACTGGACAAGACATCTGCAAATGATAGAGGATCAGGCAGAAGAACTAGCTGAATGTGCTACGGTGGCAGAGAGAAACAGAGGGGAAACGCAAGGAAAGAAGGACAGATTAACAAATGCTATCCCAGGGCAGGGGACTTCAGCACAAAAAACCTACAGGAACAGCAGTGGGTTACAAGAACTTATTGTGATTAATATGCGTTCAGATTTTATCTTTCCCATTTTGTTGAGGAAATGGATGAAATGTCTAATATTGCACTTAGCTGCTTCTTTATGCAGTGCCCTCAAAGATAACACCTCAGTGAATACCATTTGCTTACCATCTCTCTCTCACACACACACATACAGATTCAAACCCACAACACACAATGAACAGTTAGTTCTACAGCTTGCCTTTCCTCCCACACGGCTTCTTTTCTTCTTCTTCTTCAAGATCCTGCAATCTCTGTGGCCCCTGCCTCTATGCCCCAAGCCTCCTTTTCTTCCCTAAGAATATTCCCCTTGCTTTGCAGAAGACTGGTTAGGCATGCCAACATTTAAAAACAACTCCCGTCACCAACGTCTACTTTAACTGAACCAAACCTTAGGAGGCTGCCTGTACAAAGCCTGCAGGCCCACACGGCAGAACCGGAGAACACAGCGGGGGCACGCTCCAAATTTCAGTAACAGCTGAGCAACAATCTTGTCTTTTTCTGTCAGGGGAATCATGACGACAGAGCCTGCATTTGGAATAATGTTATTATTTTAATTACATAATTTGTTTAACAGACAAAACAGAAATTCAGAGAGGCTGGTTTGAAAATACTTTAAGCAGATATACATACATGCATAGATGTACAGTATGTATGTACACACACATTTTAAGTAATCAGGACACATACACACACACATACACTATATGTATATGTGTACATACACCCTATATATTTATATTTATTCATTTATTTGATTTATATCCCGCCCATCTGGTATATTATACCACTCTGGGCAGCTACAGTATATATACACACACACACGTATCCATATACATACGTACACATGTATGTAAATACACACACACACACACACACACACACACACGCGCGCACACACATATACGTACATACATGCGTGAATTTTGTCACGCCATGTGCACTGACGACGGAAGAAGTCAGTCCTATGGAAGTCAATGGGACTTACTTCTGAGTAAGTATCAGCAAGTCCAATTTTCGCTGCCTTCTTTCCTCCACAAGGCTTCGTCGAAGTGAGACGTCTTGCCAAACCCCCACCTCTAACAAAAATAAAAAAAAAAATAAAAGGCTAGACCAGTTTCCACCTTGCTGGTCAATTTTTTTCCCCCAAAAAAGTGGGGGAACCATTTCCCCGACGTACCGGGAGGTGTGTCGGTAACAATCATTTCCTCTTCCGCCCTCACTTCCGGCGGGGAAACAAAAGGGAAGCGGACTCCCAGAAGCGAATACTTTACTCTGGGCTCAGCAGCATCGACGGAGCCTAAAGAGGTTCAGGGTCTGCAGATTGCAACCCTTACTTCCGGTTCCCGAAGTAAGTTAATGTAGAACGCTCTGAGCTGGGGCTTCCTTTGGTGACCACCTTTTAAATAACTGGCTTTTTGCTTTATTTCATAAACGTTGAGAAAGGGGTCTGATGGGGGAAGTCTGGGCCTGCTGGAATAGAAGGACAGCTTGAAAATGTAACTTTTGGGAACGCCAACCATTCCAAAATGACCCAATCAGCGTACTCTTGGGTTGCATTTAAAAATGTAATGGATATTTTAAATTTTAATACACTTTGAATAGCTGAAAGAAGACGCCAGGCTGTTTTTTTTAATGAATGCTGGAAGGAAGGCAAACACACAGGACTTACTGTTGTCTTTTTTTCTCCAAATTGTTCATTAGAAATGTTGTTAACCACCTTTGGGAAACACTGATCTTATAACGGGGCAACTGATGGATTAAAAAATCTGCAAAGATTACTCAATAATGAGGCAAGTAAGGAAGATGGTCTACAAAGGCTTGTTAAGAAAAGCAGGTCTGTATTTAAATCAGGAAAAACCACGGAGCCTGGCATAATTACATTGTAAACCTCCCAGAGAGTGCTTTAGCATCATAGGGAGGTATATAAGTCAAAACAACAAGCAAAGGCAGTTAAGGATACAAAATAAAAAGAAGAAAGTAGAATCCATAATAGAAATCGGCCCATAGGATGCAACGAAAACTTTGACTTGTTTTAGAAATTAGAAATGTTTGAAATGCAAGTTTGTCACAGAAGGCTTAAGGGTTTCCTGGAGCGAGAGGATGACCCAGAAAGAAGTCCTAAAGTAAATGCATGAAGGCCACATAAATAATAAGACCTATAAAACACAGAATGTTTCAGTCACATTAATGAGAAAACAAAAAGCCCAGATGGGTACCGCTGATCCTTGAAGGTGGGAGAAAAACATAGGTACTGGCTAAGGTGTAATGGCCAGGATGCACACACACAGACACCCCTTTGTTTTTTTATTGTTGTTTCACCCAAACTCATAACAGACCAGAGGATGACAATAAGAGTTAGTCTTAACAGCCCACTCAGGTGTTAAGATCCTCGGGGGAGGCCTTTCTTTTGATGCCACCACCTTTACAGGTGCGCTTGGTGGAGATGCAGGAGAGGGCCTTCTCTGTGGCTGCTCCCAGACTTTGGAACTCCCTCCCACTGGAGGCCAGCTTGGCCCCATCTTTGCTGCCCTTCTGCAAGCAGGCAAAGGCCTTTCTCTGCAGGCAGGCTTTGCCTTAGTCACCTGTGTGTGGTTTTTAGATGAATTGTTACGCATCACGGCTTTGACTGGGTTTTTTTTTTAGTTCTACTTGTGTTTTCCACTTCTCAAGAGTGACATTTGTGTTTCCCCCCCCCTTTTTAATATTCATATATTGTTCTTAGCTTTAACATTGCCTTTAAATAATGTAAGCCGTCTCTTCTTTTAATGATGCAAACCACAGTTGTATATTCATTGTTTTCCCCTTTCAACATGGTCTCTCAATGTTGTAAGCCGCCTGGAGTCCTTCTCAAGTAGAAAGGTGCGGTAAAAATATAAATAAATAAATAAATTAGAGCTGGCA